CACTGTGACTCATACACTTCCTTCTTCAGGGCCTCAATTTGGGCCAAAGCAGACTCGAGCTTCGCCGCTTCTTCAACCCTCTGAGCTTTGGCTTCTTCGGCCTCGGCCTTAGCAGCTTTGACTTCCTCTGCAAAGGAGGCAGCCTTCCCCTCCGAGGCGTGAGTCCTTGTCTGGAATTCACTTAATGCCTCCCTGCATTCGAGCGCGAGGCCGAAGGTCCGGGCGCTTTGACTCACCAGTGCCCTTGTGAGGTCGGTGGCATCACAAGACGAAGCATGAAGCTGCCACCTCTCCGTCCAAAACTTGTAAAAGCTCTCGGTGGCACTTCTAATTTCCTCAGGGAGAGCCTCCACCAAGGCCGGGGCCAGCTCATCCTCCCTCCCAGCTAGGAAGTTTGGAGACTTCCCCTTCTCCCGAACCGGCTTCTCCTTCGCCGCCTCTGCAGCTCGCCTTGCAGCCTCTTCGGCCTCCACCTCTCTTACCATCTCCATTTTGATGGCCTTAGAGGCTACAGCAAGAAGTTTCGGCTCTCCAGTTTGTTCTGCCCTGTGGGACACTGAAGTCCCAAACTTGCCAGCTGAGCTGGAGATGTGCACCAGCTTCCTCTTCTTAGTCTCCTCAGAGACTTTCTCCTTGACCCAAGGCTCCTTAGGCTTCTCTGGCCTCTGAGAAGATGCCTCCTCCAAGGCCCTGGGAGTGCAGTCCTTCGACAGGCGCTCGACCCTGCCTCGGACTTCCTTTGCTCCACTGGACCCAGGCTTCAGGGGCCTCGCCTTCACGGTAGAAGTGGCCTTCAAGATTGAGGCCATGTCCGGAGCTGGGTACTCCCTCTTCTTAAATTTGTCTGCACAACAGATTAGCATCAGCATAAGAAACATTCGGGATAAAAACATCAAGTGTTGGGGCCCCATACCTCTGGATGCCATCAGCTCGAAGTCCAAGAAGTATCTGCTTCTATCAATCAGGTGATCGAAGTGCCGAAGCTTCAGAGGCCTCTTGTAAATGTCCTCTATCACCTCGAATTCCTCCCTGCTGAGCTCAAACCTCGTACTACTATCTGCAAAGACGAACCTCCAACAGTTAGACGAATAAATATTCTGATTTCAAAACACGAGCAGAGGACGGGAGACTCACAAGCTTCGTAGTACTGGGTCGGCACTGTGCATGACAGGGCTTTGTCACCCTCCACTGCCTGCCATTTACCTCGCACCCAGAACCAGGACTACTTCCACCCCTTGATAGAGGAAGGAAGCCCCACCACAAAGGGTGCGTGAGCCCCCCAAGGCGTGAGGTAGTACCACCCCCTTGACTCCTTCCCCAATTACCCGGGGCTGGAACAGGGTCAAGAAGACATGAAGAGGCATGTCCTCCCCAAGTGACACTTCCTTCCACAGGAAGTACGAGCCGACCAGCTGGCTCCACCCATTCGGTAGAACCTGGGTCGGCGACAGCATGAATTTCCTAAGCACTGCCCTAAAGAAGGGGTGCAAAGGAAGACGCATACCTGCTTTGAACAGGTATTCACTCACGGCCACGTAGCCGGGCCTCGGATAGCAGGCCCGCTCGTTCGGTTCGGGGACTAACATCTCTATGTTATGGGGCACATTGTACCTTTCCCTAAGTTCCCCCAACCTCTTCCCCGTCATGTTCGAAGGCACTCTAGAAGCCCCCCACTCCTGGGTATAATCCACAGCCTCCTCGGCCATGGCATACCTATCCACCTCGGACGTCCCCCCATGACCTACCCCATGGTCTAAAGACGCCACTGTAACAAGTTCCCTACCCGAAGTGGACTCCATACTTTTCAGAACAAAGACAATAACAACGATTTTTTATGCAAACAATACCTAAAAGAGTTCAACACAAACGGAGACTGGTCGGAATCTAATCGCAGACAACCTCGACACCGGAAAATGGGAGATTTGAGAGAATTTGAGAATGTAAAGTGTTCAAAAATCTTGAAAATTGGGATTTTCTCGCCTTTTATAAAGGTCCAAGACGAACCCCACCCGTCAGATCAAATCTCAGTCAATCCGAGCCCTCCATTTTAGATCCAATCCGAGGCGTTGAATTCAAACAGTTTTTCCAATCCTACGCCTCCGATCTATGCGTGCCTCCCACGCACCCCTCAAACGCGTCTGCTTCTAGAAACGCCAGCTGACCTCATAATTGCATTTTTAATTCGACGACGCCATCGCCTTGGAAGTTGTAACGGTTCAGCTACCTTTCCTCGAAAACAAGCATAAAACATCAAATCATTGGCACATCGACCAACGCACAATCATTACCATTGGACCTCGGCAAGCCTCGCAGGTTCGGTTTCCTCAACCACCTCGGCTTCCTCTTCGGCATTCAGCGTTCAAGCCTCGCAGGTTTGGTTTCCTCAACCACCTCGGCTTCCTGTTCGGTACTCAGCATCCAAGTCTCGCAGGTTCGGTTTCCTCAACTACCTCGGCTTCCCAATCAGCCCTCACAAGCCTCGCAGGTTCGATTTCCTCAACCACCTCGGCTTCCTCTCCGGCACTCAGCGTTCAAGCCTCGTAGGTTCGGTTTCCTCAACCACCTCGGCTTCCTCTTCGGCACTCAGCATCCAAGCCTTGCAGGTTCGGTTTCCTCAACCACCCCGGCTTCCTCTTCGGCACTCAGCGTTCAAGCCTCGCAGGTTCGGTTTCCTCAACCACCTCGGCTTCCTCTTCGGCACTCAGCATCCAAGCCTCGTAGGTTCGATTTTTTCAACTACCTCGGCTTCCCAATCAGCCCTCACAAGCCTCGCAGGTTCGGTTTCCTCAACCACCTCGGCTTCCTCTTCGGCACTCAGCGTTCAAGCCTCGCAGGTTCGGTTTCCTCAACCAACTCGGCTTCTTCATCATTCACCCAAGCAACACTTCTCAAACTCCACGCATTATATAAATATCTATACTTGGACTTGGGGGACTATTATTTGGGGTTCCAGAATTCTTCAACTTACTCCATCAAAGTCCACGCACTACATTAATGATTATACTTGGACTTGGGGGACTATTGTCGCGTGTTGTCACACCTGTCCTACCCACCTGGACCAATGGCCCACTCATCCTGATTCACGTGGCATTCCTGCCGAAGTGGCACACATTGCCGAGGTGGGATATATCCGAAGTGCTTCAGGCCGAGGCCCCATGACCCGAGGCATGGAACCTGTTGGATGTAGCTGAGGTCCTCAAGTGGAAGTATTTGTCAAATGGGCGAAGCCCCAAAGTCGATGCACGAGCCTCTTAACCACAAGGAAACATCCTCCATGGTCACCTTTCCCAAGAGATCGCCTGCACAGATCTTATGCGAATGATTGATGGAACGTTTGTTAAATCACTGCTTTTTTTTTTTTTTTTTTTCTCTTTCTCTTTCTTTATCTAAGAGATGTTCTATCACCGATACAGGGCTCAATGGAGTCCTTTTACAAATAATCTCTCATGGATTTATTGGTGCTGCACTTTTTTTCTTGTGGCTCTACCTATGAATTATCCAGTAATAGGTCTTTCACAATGAGATCCACCTATACAATAACGGTATTTAATTAGGAAATTTAGTTGGGTAGCTGACCCTCTTAGTCTGTTCTTGACAGAGTGGGAGCTTCATTTTTATGTTTTTCAAATACAGGCTAAGTGCAAATAATTCCAGAATAGGATTATTTCATACTAAATATGTGTGACACAGACTCACCTTCTTTTGCTGGTTCATGGTTGGACCCAGAGATAAGCGGCAAGTAGAAACATCCATGATTAGGGGACGCCATTATTCAACAAAAATGTTTGGTTATAGACTATCATTCTAAATCAACTTGCTAAACTTTTCTCGACTAGTGCTTAATATTCATTGATAAAAACACCATTATCTTCAACATTCAACGATAAAAATCATTTATTTGATATTCAGATTATGGATTTCACAATATGAGGTTTGAGGATGAGTGATATGTGGGATTATTTGTGATTTTTTGGATTATCGGATTTGGAATTTTGATTTTGGTAGAAGATGATTATTTGGATTTGGGGATTTTCCATGGTAAAATTAGGGGATTTTGAACATTATTTGTGTAAATAGATTGGCTTGTTCAGTGAAGTAATATAAGCTGTCAAAATAATAAATATAGATTTAAGTTGTTTTTTGTGTTTCATTTTTTACTTTATGAAATTCAGTAATACGTATTAAAAAAGTAGGAATGTATTATATGAATTATTATTTTAAAATGAGTAATAAAAGTAATTTTCTCTAACTTTTAACGATGCTTTTTCTAACTCAACTTGAAGCCCGTTCTGTGTACTTAAAAAGATGCATACACTTTACTTTTATTAAAAATATATTTATCAATGCAATTTTGATGATCTTCAAGTTGGTCACTTAGCTCCAATTTGACCCCAATAATTTTCATTCCAATACATTATATTTTTCACTTTTTTATTTTCAATCACACAGTCTTCTATAAAATAATATTACACGTAAACTGAAAATTTTTCATTCTTTTTCAATCGCTCATTTTTTTAAAAACAAAATATTATTCCACCCATTTTCATTTTAAAAAAGAGGGCCAAACAGGGCCTTAATTGATGATATGCTAAATTTGTGTCTATATATTTTATTCTTACCCTTTGTTTTTTCATATTTTTATTTCTTTATATATTAAAAAAACTTAAATCCGAGCTCTATAAGCCCCTGTTTGGCCCCCATTACCTGAAAATGGTAATGGGGGGAATAGTATTTTTTAGAAAAATGAGTGGTTGAAAAAGAAAGTAAAGTTTTCGATTTACGTGTAATATTATTTTATAGAAGATTGTATGGTTGAAAATAGGAGAGAGAAAAATGAAATGTAATGTAATGTAATTTAATGTTAATCAAACAGGGGCTAAATTCAT